ACATCAAATCACCACCCTTGTATCACAAAGAAACTCCAGCAACAAGACGCAACAAGGTTTTCTTCGCGGAGGCGTGTGCTTTCCAAATCACCGGCCTCTTGTTGCGCAGCTGCCCTTGCTTGTCGCTGAAGCTCTTCCAAATGTTTGAGATTTTTTGAGCAGGGGCTCCTTCTCAGCTTCCAGCCGCAAGACTTCGTCTTGCGAGACTTTGGCCTCGTTCCGCTACTAGGAGCAAAGGGCATCGCTACTAGGAGCAAGGACGCTACTAGGGGCTCCTGGCCTTACTGCTAGGAACAAGAACGCTACCAGGAGCTTTGGCTTCTTGTGTGCATTTCTCTTGATTTGGTTTCTTGCCTTCGGCTTGGCGCTTGGCCATATCTGAATCCCAACATCCCCCTACTTTCCCCGTCTGTGCCTCAGCCTGCATAGATGAAAGGGCCGCAGTCCTCATCTCAATGCCACGTTGCATCTCTGAGCGTCTCTTCTCCAGGCGCGCCTCACAGCTCAGCACAAAGGCCACATGGGATTGGCGCCGTTGAAGCGGCACTGCCCCTGTTGACCTGCCTTCCGTGCTTGCCCCTGTTCAGCACAAACATCGCGGCAAACACCTGGTCGTTGCCACTCATCGGATCCGTCGCAACAGTCACAAATACCATCTCCAACTCCTCGTGAAGCAAAGCATCCGTCTTGCAATGGTGGCACTGCTCGTTTATCAATGGAACCAAGGAGCGTGATGCATAGATATACCGAGCAGTGCCACCTTTGTTGTAGCAATAAAACCACCTCAATGAGCAAATATGTTCACATTCTCAGGCACAAGGTGTTTTAACACCATCACAACATGGCGCTATCCTTCTGCATTTAGGTGATGCATCGTGCGCCGCACAACACCTCCAACATACTGGCAATGGCCTCCAACCTACAACAACGGCTAGCCGGCACCTTTGCTACTGGGAACAAGGCCACCGCTAGCACGTTGGAGGCCATCGCTGATAGTAGGTTGGAGGATTACTGCTAGTAGCAAGAAGCTACTAGGTTGGAGGCCATCGCTACTATGCAAGCGGCTTGTGCTTGACCAAGGGGCCGGTCAGAAGCACAAGCTGCGGTACCTGGCTCGTCGCTGCCATCTTCGCAATCGCAGTAGTCGTCATTGATGGCGGAGGCCGGGAGTTGAGTCGACCTTGCGACGGTCGCTGGCTTTGTGCATCCAGTCTTTCTGAACTTTCCACGCCTTGGGATATGCGTATGCACCCGTCGGTATGTGTGTATATATATATATATATTTGTGTGTGTGTGGGGTACCCCCAATTAAACCTTCTTCGATGGTTGGATGTTGGCTAAAATTTCATAAATCTCATGTTTCGCTCGTCTTCCTGGTGGGCCACCCAGATCCCCTCGCTGACCTGCAGATATGCAAGAAAAGAATTGGTTCGACTTGTGGACTGTGCCAATATTGTACGGGTGCATCTCTAGATCGATCTATCAGTGTTGGGGGGCTCTCAAAAGCAATTATTGAATCCAACATAATCCAACGTTGAAGCCTGAATGTGCCAGTGTTTCACGCGGAAATCTTGGATCTAAGATCTTCTGTTGAAAGAGTTGAAAGTACCCCACAATCTTAGATCCAGTGAGCGTGCTCAATACACAACCAATGCACACCTCAGGAACTTGAGTTTTACCCTGCGCAACTTCACTTCCAGATCCGGGCAGAAGAAATGTAATGTGATTGCAGTACAAAATGGCCACCATACAAACACTTGGGCTTTTTGTGCATGAAAGAACTGTCTGAACGAGACAGCCGGTTGTGCTTTTGCTTGGACTCCAATGTGTCAACAATGCAGGATCAAATTCTTTTGAACGGGACCCACCTGAAGCAATTCTTCGACAAAGACCCTGGTAAAATGAAAAAAGTAATAGAAGTCTATCTAAAGTTTCATTGGTGAACATTGAGGGCCTCTTTGGTAGGGGACTGCTCTAATGCAGCCAGGAAAAGATCAGAAAATGTAAGATCTTATGTTTCCATCCTAAAACTGGCAAAACCTGACAAAATCAGAGCATCAACTCCCACACAGTCCCTCTACCCATGCAGCACTGAGAGCACATTTTTTTCACCAAATTTGAAGCTGTCACTGTCAGAGCACAGATGATTGCCACCTGCAGGGCAAACAAGTACCAAACAACAAATCCACTCTTCTTGGCTCTAAACACATTCGAAAAACCAAGCAATCCACTCTTCTTGGCTCTAAATTAAACACATTTGAAAAACCAAGCCATATCAAAACACAAATCTTAAAAACAAGTGTGCCAGATGACCACCTTAGTTCCTTGTCCTGAGTGCACAGATCTGAGCTAGAGATTTCAGCACACAGCACACACAGCACAAACAAAGATACTTCCAGCACACAGCACAAACTGCAAGAAAACAAACAGCCTCCTTAGTAGAGAACAAAAGAACAAAGGCACCAGCAGGGAACTTCAGAATATGCAGCCAGTAAACCCTGGGTCACACCCCCACAAAGTGAGCAGCAGCCCTGGCAAACACTTGCCACACCCCCCACACAGTTCATGCTTTCACAGCAGCAGCCCTTGCAAACACTGGGCACACCCCCCACACAGTGATGCTTTCACAGCAGCAGCCCTTGCAAACACTGGGCACACCTCACACTGTGATGCTTTTCACCAGCAGCAGCCCTTGCAAACACTGGGTGTCCCCCACACAGACACAGTGATGCTTTCACAGCACCAGCCCTTGCAAACACTTTCATCTAGTATTCCTGTTATGGCACAAGTGGTATTATTTTTTCTGGCAAAGCTTGTCTTCTGCTGATGCCCTTTGGCAGCCAACAGGCTTCAAACTATCATTCAAATGTGCCTTTGCAGAAGGCCTTTTCAAATGGGCCTTTTCAAATGGCCTTTCAAGCATACCTGGTGACAGGTGGGAGGCTGTTTATAGTTTCCTGAAGCTGCTCCACCACAGCATCATCCAAATCACCAGGGGTTTGTCTTCTCTGCCCTCCCTCCAAAGGGTATTTGCGCTGAAGCAACTCCCACTTCTGCCAGTTGTGCTGGTGCACTAAGGCCAAAGCTTCCTGCCAGGTCCTTCTTTCCACAAAGGTCCTGCTGAAGGTCTTCTTGTCGAAGGGTGTTGCAAGCTCCTTGTGGTCATGTTTCCATGCAGATGTGAACCTGTGGTCTTGGAACGACACACCAAGCTTGCACCCTGGTGGTGTGAGAGCAGCCAGCAACTCCTCAGGAGACCTCCTCCTGGCTGCCCTTGCAGGTGGTGCCCTTGATGATGAGGCACCACCTTCACCACCACCACCCTCAACCTCACTGCCAGCAACAGGAGCAGCTGGGGCCTCCTGGGCTGGCATATCTTCAGCTTTTGATGGCTGCTCCTCTCCTGAGTCAATTGGCACTCGCATTGCCTCTACTTCCTTCATCTCTGCATCTTCTTTGGCCTTGCTTTTCTTGGCCATCTTGATCAAAGACCTCAGAAACCCTTTGGGCTTTGCCTTGGCCTTGGCCTTGGCCTTTCCTTTGGCCTTGGCCTTTGCTCTCTTCCTTCCTTGAATGGGCTCATCCTTTTTTGCCATCAATTTTCTGAGCCTTTTTTTTCTTCTTGTCCTTGTAGTCCTTCAAGTCATTCTGATTGTCTGCTTCCTTGCCTAGTTCTGATACAACCTCAGACAAATCAGTGTCATAATTCTCTTCCTTTTTTTTTTCTCTTCAATGTGTTTCTTGGCTTGCTCAACGAACTCCTCTGGCACCACAGCTTCAATTAGCTGGAGGTGCAGCTTTGCCTTTGCATAGTTCCCTGCAATCTCTTGGCCTGTCACTTCCTGCAGCAATTTCCTCATCTGACTGTGTGTCAATGGATGCCCAAAGATCAAAGGGGCTGCTTCCAAAGGCAAAGGGCAGCCCTCTTGTTTCCACCCTATGGGTCCTCTCACAGCATTGGTCAAGATTGGTGCCACTTGCAACTCAAGCCAGTCTTCAAGGTCAAATATGTGATGCCACTGTATGCTCTCTCTTCTGGGGTCACAGACATAAAGGGAATCACCTCCACCATGCCGGACAACATGCAAAGTCACAGCTAACAAGCCAAACTCTGCCCCAGCCACCACTTTCAATAAGAGGCCTGTGGACTTTTGCGCCAAAATGCTCCCTGGCCTTGCCAAGCAAGTCAGCCAGGCAGAGTTCACATTGTACCCAGCAAACTGTCCAGTCTTGCTACCCCAGAAAGAGAAGAGCCATTGACCAGCAGCGCAAGACTGGAACAAAGAGTGTGGTCCTGGAGTTGGCCAGGAGTGTGTCTTGCTCTGTGGCTGCATCAGCTTCTGTATGCTTTTGGGCATCTTTTTGCCAAAGCTCCTTAAGCTACTGTTGACATTGCCCTTGAATTGTGGCTGCCACTGCTTTCCAATGATCTTCTCAATAGTCTCTGCACCAATGCAGTCCACCTTCCTGCCTTCAAGCACCTTTGATCTGAGGCAGTTTGCCATGATTGTAGTGTTGGCAAAGGAATTGGCTTTGGACTGTCTGAACAAGTCCCTGCCAAATTGATGGACATTTTCGATGACCCTCGAATCTCCCAGAGTTTGTGCCACCACTCTCATCAGTCTTCCAGCTGCACTCTCTGATGTGAAGGCCCTCCTCTTGACCTGATCTTCTTCAAAGGCCATGAAAACCAGCCTCACAAATGGGTTCTTTCTCCAGTGTAGGAATGACAATGGCTGTACATCAGCGCCTTCATTGTCAGCCATTTCTGCTTCCAGCAAAATCTTCCACTGTTGGTTGGCCAGGTTGTGGGCCTGCAATGACACCTCTGCACTGGGTGCCAACACATGGCTGAAGCTCAGTGGTGGGAGGGTGTGGTATGCACACAAACTCATCGCCCTTTGTTCTAGGAGCTTCTCCATCAAGTCAACTTGCCACACCACAACATTCTCATGAGTCTGGTACCTAGTCTCCAAATGTGCCAGGTGCCTGCGATCATTCAAGGAGGTGTGCAGAATTTCTACCAGTTCATGCTTCCAGTACTGCTTGCCAGAACAACTGATGTTGTACTCCAAAATGTGCTCTGGAGACACCAAATCCCTGGCCCTGGCAGCAAAGGTTTGCCAGGTGGCCTTCCCCACAGAAAGGATGACATCCTTGACAGCAAGTGTCCTGTCACAGATCAGCTCAGGTGCCAGCTTCCAAATGCCCTTTCTTTTCTTGAGCTCATTCAACTCCTGTTTGTGGTCTGCATTGGCAGCTACAGGTCCTTCCTCCACCTCCTTCTCAGACCCTTCCTCTGCCCCAGCCTGTGCATGTTCCAGGACCATTTTGGTGGCCTGCAACTCACCATCATAAAAGACCATCGACTCAAACCAGGAAAACCACCTCATCAGTTTGATGAGGGGCCCCTTGTCAGTGAAATTCTGAAGCTCCATGAGTTGGTCAAACATGGTCTGGGCCTCACCAGGATCAGAAGGCTCTGTGATCCTTCTTTCTGCACAGATCTTTGGCAAATACTTCTGCCACAAAGGTCCAAAGGCTGTCTCTGTTGACATAAAGTCAGCTAACCTGGCCTTCTTCCAAAACCAGGAGGAGCTCCCATAGGGACCATAATTCAAATTGCACACAAATGTCATTTCCAAGACCACCCTCCAACCATTGCAAAGTGACCTCCT